ACATAATGGATTTTGTGAGTTTCACGGGTGAGTTTATTTAGGAGTTATGATGATTGTGATGAAGGTTTGTGACAAAAGAAGAAGAGGTGGCGGCTGTGATATTTTGAAGAAGAGAGATTTAGCGGCCGAGTTTTTTCAATGGGGGAGAGATGAACAGTGCCTTCCATTAGGTTTTCCAAAATGAAATCCCCTTTTTAACGTGTTGTCCGGGTGGGCCTCCAATGTTGGGCCTGCCATTCCATTTTCCTCTTTCTTAATTCTTTATCTACCGTTTTTCCTTTTAATTAATCTCTCATTTTACTAATTTAATTAACCAATAATTAATTATACACTAATCAACCAAATAATTAGCATAATCTAATAAAAACTAATATTACATAAAAATATTATTACCATATTAATATAAACAAAAAATAAAAATTGGAACTAAAAGAAATGACTTCTATATTCTTTTAGAAAGAAAAGAAATTAATATTAACAAGATATTGAATAAAAGGTGATAAAAATAAAATAAATAGTAATAAAAAAATATGGATAAATTATAAATCAAATGCTAAAAAATTTCTAAAAAAAATGGTCGCACAGAAAGTGGCTAACGCAGTATAAATAACTCAGAGAAATGCAGCATCGTGTCAAATTAATTAGAGATCTTACTCAGACATCTTGGGCAAAGTTTCAACCAGTCTGTATGTGGATCCGAATATTCACTATGGCTAACCAATCCTCTGAGTTTTATTCAAGATAAAAGACATGATACCATGCAGGCGATGCAAAACCAAAAATAAAATCAAAATGCGAAAATATTTGAAAAGGTAGGACAAATTTAGGGTATGACACAAACCATCAATGAGCTGATATCTTTACAAAACCCCTTCTGAAGATAGGTTTAAAATTATTTTGAAGAATATTAGTATGGATTTTTGTTCAGAATAAAACTATTGTTCACAAGAAAATTTATTCAAATGAAAAATGATTAATGTCTATACTCTGAAATATTTCATTGGATTATTTACTTTGGTACATTATTTATCTTATGAAACTTTGAACTAAAAAAGTCTCAAAAGATCTGAGCGTTGATTAACGTTTCTTATTCTAAAGAGATTCAGAAGCACATCAACATCAAACACGTGTCACATGAAATCTGAAAAGGTGGAGTGCGAATAATGAGACGCCATTTAGAGGTACTGTTTGAATTATTAATTCCTCGTTTTCCTCCCCACACTTGTCAAAATCATTAAATGCTTTCTTATCATTATTCTTTTTTGATGTGATTTAATGTTTTAATTTATTGTGAATTAAATGATGAGTGTGAATTTGTGCCCTAATTTTTGCCCCTATATATTACAACACAACACATTTCACATTTTTCACTTCTCACAAAACCCTTTTATGCATTTCTGTCTTCTACACTATTTCTTCTCTTCCGAACCCAAATCTCAAAGAAGAATTCGTTATCTCTCAAGATCACAAATGGCAACATCATCTTCAACCTCTCAACAGTTTGAATCAACAATGGCTGCAGTTTCTTCTTCTATTATGGGTACTGTTCCGTTCAAAGAACCTGTAAGAACTCTTCTCACACCTGTTCATCAACTGGAAGTTTTATGTGAGTTCTTGGTAAGCTTTGACTGCATTGCTGAAAATGGTTTTGATCTCTGTCCCACTGTTACTTCTCAAAGTTGGGTAAAGTATTTTGATAGACTAATAGGTTCAGTTTATCCTTGCTTGGTTAAAGAATTTTGGATCCATGCAACCGTTTATCCAAAATTCATTGTTTCATCAGTTCTGGGTAAAGAGATTATTATTACTGAAGATCTGATTCGTAAGTTGTTAGGATATCAAGAAACAAATAGTGTTACTCATCTACCAGTAGGTCGTATTGAAATGGATGAGGTATATAGTGAAGTTTTCACTTCTGGGGAAGTTTCAAACAGGATCAAGGATTTAAAGGTTCATTACAAGATCTGGGCAAAGATTTTCTTAGGCTGCATACATCACAGGAAATCCTCTAATTCTTTTGACTACGTCAACACATATCAGATGTACTTCATGTACTGTCTGGGTAAAGGCATCAAGGTGGATCTACCACACTTACTTTTTGCTCATCTGTGGAGCCATGTAAAAATGTCAAGAAAATCAGTCAAAACAAAGCATCAGAAGGTCAGAAACTGGATCCCTATGGGAAGACTGATCTCAGATATTTTGACTGAGAATGGATTAGTGGCTCATCTGACAAAGGCTGGTCAGACAGAAGAGTTAACTTCAATTATTGGAAAGCCTCTGAATGGAAAGAGTCTACAAAGGATGAAGATAGTGGAAACACTTACCTCTGCACCAGTTCAGATCAACATTGAAGAAGTAAGCCAAAGGAGAATCCCATTAGATGATTTTCCAATATTTTCTGCTGACGAGCCCAAGGAAGCGCTACTTGAATACATTGCTATGTGTAAGGCAGATGGAACTCCAGTTCCAACAGATATTCTGAAACGTGCAAATGAACCTGCACCAGATTTCTATGAGGAGAAGAAGAGAAAGAAGGGAAAAGTCTCAGAGGAAGGATCTACAAGGACTAAGAGGAAAACTTCTAAAGAAGCATCTTCTGTAAGGGTCAAACGCTTAAAGAAGTCAGGTAACCCTTCTGCAAATTTACCTCTTATTTCAGAGCAAGTAACAGAACCACCAACACCTAGTTCTCCTCCTCCATATGATCCCATACCTACTCCCTTTCCAACACAAAATACATTTGAACATATTTCACCTGAAAATGTTCAAACCTCTGAACCTCCAAATAACTCCCCTTAACAGAATCAAGCACCTTCATCTGAACACATCACATCTGCACCATCCATACCTCATTTTACCATCCATCCAAATTTTGTTTTTGCTACACAACCAAAACCATCTGAACATCAACAATCTGAACCTATTTCATCTGAACCAAACCCTTCTGTAAACCAACCATCTGAACACCCACCATCTAAAAATCAAACATCTGAACCACAACACTCTGAAACTATACCATTTGATCCTGAACTTGAGATTCTTAATCTCAAACCTCTCATGACTGTCTTTCCTATTTCCTCTAGATCATGTCCTTCATCAGATTCATCTGATTCTTCTGACTCATCTTCAGATGCTAACTCACCCATACTCAACTCCCCTATCCATTCTTCTGACATTCCTGTAACAACCCAACCAGATGTTTCACTCACCTCTGGACCCAAAGTTACTACTACCTCATCTATCAGATTAAAATAGTTCAGAAAAATTGCCTTTAAGTCAAAACATGCCACAAAGAAAATCTTAATGAGACAACATGTTGAACATTGTTTATTGACGATCCTCGCATGACAACATTCAGTAATTTAGCAAGACATGGTTATTGGAAACAAAACATAAATGGTTTTGAGTGCGAAAGTAAGCAAATTTAGGATAAAAACGTTATGAAATTAAATTGCGATAAAGGTAAATAAGATGAAGATAAAAATTGCGAGGCAAATAAAACAGGAAAGTAAAGGCAAGACAAAGTAAATATAAAAGCGGAAATGAAATAAAAACCTGCTCCAAATGAAGTCTTGAATCTGATACAAAGTGCGATATATTGAAATAAATCTTGACGAAATGTAAAAGACATAAATAAAGTGTTTCGAAAAATAAATAAGGTGCTCCAAACTTGATACAAACTTAATCGACGGTGCAATGGTCCTCTGATGTGAAGAGAATAATGCTTTACAGTTTGACAGGATTTTGGCTTAAGTTTGCATAAGCTTTGATACCCTGAAAATGGCATGATGAAGGTATTTATAGGAGCCCACAACCCTAGAAATCACCAAGAAACCGATTACAAGTCGTAGAGAAATGTAGGGACGATTTTTGGGAGACTTGGAGACCAAACATGGTATGTTTCCAACTGTTTGGGCTTTCCAAGGGTGGCGACCACCACAACCTTCATGGTGATTGTCATGCTCACAAAGTGGGCATGACTTGTTGGTCATCCCACTAGCTGATACGTGGACCACCCATGACACCCATAGGATGAACGCCATGGTGTTCGCCATAGGTGCAAGTCTGCTCCAATTCTTTGCTTTTCGTCCATTTTGCTTCATTTCTTCGCCCACAACTCCTGATTACTAAATTTCCCGAAACAAAGGAAAAACACTAGCATGATTGTGGAAACAGAATAAAAATCATAAGAAAATATGCATAAGTCAAGTCAAATAAACGATAGTTTGAGGTGTCATCAAGGAACCATAAATGTGTAGTAAAGTAATGAAAAAAAGTTTTAGTATGATATACCAAACTTACAATATGACTAGGGGGTGGACCAACAAGGTTATCACTCAGACGACGAAGTAAGTTACTAAGTAAAAAGTAGTATGAGAGTGACAATGAACTGAATACCTAAAATGACATAATATGGTATTTATGTAATATGAACGATTAATATCGTCTGGAGTGATTCAACACCTTTTATGGACAGTCATTCGATTATGTATTAACAATAAGAGTGCAGCGAAAGACGTGATCATGTGTCATCAGTAAAGATGAGAGTTCACAAATTACGTTCACCTTTTCTTCCAAAGTCTGTTATTGGATCTTCTTCATGGTATGTTTGAAAGAATCAAAACACCTTCAAATTGTATAACTTAAATTTTTTTTACTAAAAAGTATTCAATTTGGAGAATGATAAATTTAAAAAGAATTAAATTTTGGAGGTTTTGAGAAACTAAAGAAAACATTTTCGTAGCTTACTTAACATACTCTACAAATTGCCATTGTACAAAAAGAAAACTATAAATATTAACCATGATCAGCATTTGGGCATTTTGACACTCGGGCCCAAAACCCATAGCTGTTACCTTCCGGTTCAACCCGACCCGCTTTGTTATTAATCATTTATACACACATCTCTTATTAAACCCTAAACCCTGTATCATAACATTTTCGAATGCCCTTTCTCCCACTCTGACATTACTAGGGTTTCTGTTGCGGCCATCCAAATGGCTCTCTTCCTTCTCCACGAAACCGCCGCTGGCTACGCCTTGTTCGAGGCTCATGGAATCGACGAAATTGGACAGAACACTGAAGCTGTTCGGAACTCCGTTTCCGATTTGACTAGGTTCGGCAAGGTTGTTAAGCTTCGCTCTTTCAACCCTTTCACCTCTGCTCTTGAAGGCCTAGAACAAATTAATGCCGTCTCTGAAGGTAATAAACTAACATACCGCGCCCTCTCTATCTTCTGTGCTTTTTATGTATAGTGCTGGTCTTTGTATCACTGTTTCTGCTTTGTTCTATAGGAATCTATTGTTGTATATAGTGATTCAATTTGTACTAGTTTTAGAATTTTCAGCTTTTATTTTTCTTATCAGGAGTAGCTTATTAAGTGTATTTTGCGTTTTTTGTTGTTAAGTTTTGAAAATCTGCTAAAACCCTAATTAACATTACTAATTTTTTGATGTTAAAACTGATTTAAACGGGGTTTGTTTGGTTGGTGCTATGTTTGTTAGTGTGCTCAAATGCATTTATTTCATTTTGTTAGTTGCTCAACTTATTGTTGATGTTTGATGTTGTTGTTGTTCAGGCATTATGACTGATGAGCTGAGAACTGTTTTGGAGACTAGCTTACCCAAAGTAAAGGAAGGTAAGAAGCCAAAGTTTTCATTAGGTGTAGCTGAATCTAAGATTGGTTCACATATACAAGAAGCTACTAAAATTCCATGCCAAAGTAATGAGTTTGTGAATGAACTTATTCGCGGTGTCAGGCTTCATTTTGAAAAGTTTGTTGGTGATCTCAAGGTAAGCAGTTATTTTGGATGCTTTGTTTTTATTACTTCTAGGATCATCCTTTTAACTTTTAACATTGATTGTATGTTTTTTTTGTATCTTTTGAATTCCATAGCCAGGAGATTTGGAAAAGGCACAACTTGGTCTCTGCCACAGTTACAGCAGAGCAAAAGTGAAGTTCAATGTTAATCGGGTTGATAATATGGTCATCCAAGCAATCTTCCTACTCGATACACTTGATAAGGATATCAATTCATTTGCCATGAGAGTCAGGTAGTTTAGGCTTAACATGCATTTTTTTATTGATTAAATAGTTTACATCTCTCAAAAAATATTTTACATCTTTTTTAAGCACGACCTCGTAGCCTAACACAGAAACGGTGACTTTTTAAGTTTGGATGCCATTACCCCACACACTTTCCTTTGCAGCTCTACTCCCAGCACATGGTCTAATAGTTTACATCTCTATCAAAAAATATTTTACATCTTTTTTAAGCACGACCTTGTGGCCTAACACAGAAACTGTGACTTTTTAAGTTTGGATGCCATTACCCCACACACTTTCTGTTGCAGCTCTACTCCCAGCACATGGACTAATAGTTTACATCTTCAATGAGTTTATAACTTGTGTTATTTATCTGTTGTCATCTATTTTGTGTAGAGAATGGTATTCATGGCATTTTCCTGAACTAGTGAAGATCATAAATGATAATTATCTGTATTGCAAAGTAGCCAAATATGTTGAGGATAAGTCAAAGTTGGCTGAAGACAATATTGAAGCATTAACTGAATTGGTTGGAGACGAAGATAAAGCAAAGGAGATTGTCGAAGCAGCAAAAGCTTCCATGGGTAGAATATCATATATTTGCATTTAACTTGGTTTTTTTGTCATCTCTCTTGACATGCTTTGTTTTTCTTTTTTCAGGACAAGAATTGTCCCCTGTGGACTTGATCAATGTCCATCAGTTTGCTCAAAGGGTGATGGACCTATCTGACTACAGGAGGAGGTTGTCTGATTACCTGACCACTAAGATGAATGATATTGCACCTAATTTGCAATCTTTAGTTGGTGATAGTGTTGGAGCTCGTTTAATTTCTCATGCTGGTAGTCTCACAAATTTAGCTAAGTGCCCCTCCTCAACTCTTCAGATTCTTGGTGCAGAGAAAGCTTTATTCAGGTTTTTAATTCATTTCTTGTTATGAAGTTTGAACTGCTTATTTTTTCCTGTAGAATTTGTGAAACTGCATTTTTTTTGTCTTGAAAAGTAACATCATTGTAACTGATAACCTTTCTCTGTTTTATTCAGGGCATTAAAAACAAGAGGAAATACTCCCAAATATGGTCTGATATTCCACTCTTCTTTTATCGGTCGCGCATCTGCCAAAAACAAAGGCCGCATGGCTCGCTATCTTGCTAACAAATGCTCTATTGCGACTAGGATTGACTGCTTTTCTGGTTTGTTTCCAGCCTAGTAATTTTAGCAAACTCTTGCTCATTTACTTTGCATCTGTATCATTATTTTGTTCTGTTGTGCAGAAAAGGGTACTTCAGCATTTGGCGAGAAACTCCGGGAGCAAGTTGAGGAGCGACTTGACTTTTATGACAAGGGAGTTGCCCCTCGTAAGAACATTGATGTTATGAAATCTGCTATTGAAGTTGCCGACAACATAGGTACACCCTAGGAGACCTACCGACTCCATCTCATTTTCTCATACTAAATATGAATTTGATTGTCAATTATCTTGTATACTTCTGCCTGCCACTATACATGGTGTTTTTTTCTTCTGGTGATGCTATCTGGTGGAAAGATTACTATTTTTTTAACCTGTAATTATGATGTAGTTTCTATTGTATATTTTTCTGATTAATATGAATCTGTGCAGATACAGAAATGGAAACAGAGGAAGTATCAGCCAAGAAAACCAAGAAGAAGAAGCAAAAAGCTGCTGCAGATGAAGTAGAAAAAGCTGCAGAAATTACAAATGGTGATGCAGAAGATCATAAGTCTGAAAAGAAGAAGAAAAAGAAAGAAAAGAGAAAATTGGACCAGGAGGCTGATGTTCAGGATCAGGTTGTAGATGAAGCTGCCAGCGGTGAGTCAGGAAAGAAGAAGAAGAAGAAAGAAAAGAGAAAATTGGACCAGGAGGCTGATGTTCAGGATCAGGTTGTAGATGAAGCTGCCAGCGGTGAGTCAGGAAAGAAGAAGAAGAAGTCAAAGAGGAAGGATGTTGATTAAAAACTAAATTAAACTAATCGATGCTTGCTGTATTTGATATTGTTATATTTTAGTTTTGCTTTGAACTTTTAATTTATGTCTTGACTCTTGTTGATTGTTTTTGTTTAGTATCTAGATTAAAAATTTTATCCTACTTGTTTTCGGTATAATTTTAGTACTTGGAAAGATTTATTACTATTCTGGATCTTATCATTTTTGAAATGATAACATAAATTTTGTACAAGAGTATGTTTTATTAATCGATCATTTAAGTCATACTGTATTTGTTTTTTGATCAATGTCTATCAATGGACAAACCAAGACACTGATTTGCGTGCTTTACGGCTTGAAAACTTTGCAATCTTCTCCTAATTGAAATAACAGATTAAGATGTCGCAGCAGATGGGAATATAGTAGCTGCAGTATCACTAAGACCAATCAAAGATTTTGCGGTTGAGAAATAGAGATGGAAGAATCAAAACATTGAGGTGCATGTGCAAGCATGTGGTAAAATCATATGTTTTTAGAATTAACTTCTTAAAATTGTATAAATTCATACATGTTGATCATCATCGTATTTCAAGTCCCGCAGCAGTATCAATACGTTAGTATGTCCAAAGTATGATGCAGCACTCGACAAAAGAAGGGGCATGTGGTATGACTATAATAGAGTAAGAGAGAAAATTACTTAATTATGGAACCACCATAACCAAATACTCAAACTTATTATTACACCTCTTTCCTATCAATTCTTAAACTCGGTAAAAAGACTCATTCTTACAAAATAGAAAATTATATTGAGTACTCTTATGTTTCAAAAGATGTTTCAAATTCATATAATATCTTCAAAAAAAAATTATTAGATCCATCATAAATTTAATCTCTACAAATAATTCTTATATGAAAGAGTATGTCCAATTGTCTCAACTAGACTAATGTGAGTTATCGACCACGAAAAACATGTAGATTTAGAGATCTCTCAGAGTCTCATAAATCACCGAAAATTTGAAGGAAACACAACTTTACATTTTGGAGTTGTTAGACTCATCCACTCTCCATGGGGAAAAATCAACTTGTCTTATGCTCTTCTAGATTCAAATTATCTCCATTATAAAAATGTTGTAATAGGGACTGTCCTAACCACACTCCATGCGAGAAGTGTTTTCCTTACTATTTTTCCAAATTATAATGTAAGCCTCAAACCCCAGTACTCTATCCACGAGACTTAAAATACAGGTTCAGATCACTAGATCAGAATAAGTTTCAAAAACTATGTGCCACTCTTCATCGTCAAATAATCTATCCTCTAAAAAGTCATTCGATATATTTGCTTCCTTCGGGATGTTCTTCCGATTCATTATTGGTTGTTACTAATAGAGAAGATATATCCTTCATTGTTCAGATACCAAGAAGAATCACAAGAGAAGAATTAACTCTGCTAATTCTCATTGAATGGATAACAAATTATGAAGAAAAAAAATTCATCTTGGCATAAGACCAATACAATTTCAAGAGGTTACCTTCAGAAGATCCATTAACAAAATTGTCAAAACAATTTTCAAAAATCCAGATGAAGAGTCAAGTTTAATTTATCCTATTTTCCAAACCTTAATGATCCAACCAATACTTAAAGAGGATTATAGTCTGATTCATGATGTCACAGTGGAAGGAAAATCCATCTATACTGACAAGATAGATGACCATTTCATTTGAGATGTTGATCCTAAAAAATGTGACCCAGGATGTGACTATTGAATGCACGATGATGATATTGAGAGAGAAATTATCCTCCCCAAAAGAAAGAACAAAAGGAAAACCATCTCATTCTCCTAAAAAAAGATTTGATCCTGATAATGTCCCATGGGTAGGAATCCATTAGAAAAAGAAACCTCTTTCTATCTATGAGGAAGCTCTTAATATCCTCAAGAAAGAAAATATGTTGCCACATGATGACCACACTCTTGTTACGTGGTTACCTTCAGACTATTGTAAACCATTGGATCCTCTAAAAAATATTGAGCCAATCTCTTGTTTTATGTACTCAACTACAACAAATTATAATCAACATTTTCCTGCTATAGAAAGGAAAATGGACCCAATCATAGGCATCACATCTAAACCTTTCATTCACCCTGATAAAGTCCAACTGATGGAAAACTTAAACCTTTGACTCAAGCAAATGAGTTTCTAAATTGGCAATCAAAAGACATAGTTGCTCAAAATGATACCCTCTAGAATCTTGACAAAAAGGTAGATAAAATTATTGAGAAAATAGAAAAAACAAATGATTATCTCAAGGCTTTATCTCAAAAAATGTAAAGGCATTACAGAAGCCTAAAAACTTAAGTTTTTCAACTAGATCGTGACTTAAGATAAATGTTAGAAGAAAAGACTTTTGACCAAAAGGAAAGAGAAATAAAAAAAATCTTAAAAGTAAAGTAAAAGAGATGGATGATTTCTTGAGGGCTTCTCATGAAAGGAAACCCAATCCTATTGAAAGCCCTTTCTTTAACCCTCATACTTTCCCTACATATTTCACACGACAAGAAAAACCTTCTCCTTTCTACCCTACCTATGCCTCATATCCACCAGATTATGTCAAATACATACCCACAACTCACAGACCCAAATCTCACATAACCAATGCCAACTCAACCGCAAGAGCAAAAGGGAAAACTATATGTTTGAACGCTTCATCCTCAGACTCTCGGGACGTCTTTGAAACACCTCCTCCAAAATTCCAAAAAGAAGAAGAAATTCCTGATAAAAGTTTCCAAGCCATGGCAATCACAAGAAATTATGAATCCCCCCGATAAAATCACTCTTCTGTTGAATCCTCAACACAAAGGGCGAGGATTCCTCCTAAGATGATAACAACAATTCTTATCAAGATACATTAGCTGACGAAACACCAAAATCCTCTTCATCGGAGTCAAAATCTCAATTGAATTTTATTCATAGGCTCTTTATGACAAATAAAAAATAGGAAGAATTGTTTTGAAGAACCACCTGAAGAGACTCAATTCATCGAAAGGAAAAAAGTAAATAATGGTCCTTGGTTCACGCTTGATGATATCCCACCTAGTCGTTGGAGAAAAAGACTCACGAATTTGGGGCTTGGCTTGACACTCCGATGATGAAAACAAGTGCATATAGTTATAAAGGCATTGGAGAGTTTTGCTGTAGAATGACAAGAACTATGAAAGAATGGTATCATAATCTTGGAACATTAAAACAAGATGAGTTGCATAGACTAAAAGATATTGCTAGTATCCTTGAAGTCATTCACCATGAAATTATTGGCGACATGGAGATATTCGATAGTAAAAGTAGACAAGAATTCATTGAGATGAAGTGTTGTTCCCTAAAAATAAAAGACCTCGATAAACATTATCATAGAATGATACAAATGTATTATGTCCTCAATGAATTTAATGACCCTAGTCTAAAAAATATGTATGTCTCCTCTCTACCTCATGAACTTTAGCCAGAAACTCATAGAATGTTAGCAACAACTTAAAAGGATATTAAAATCACAAGTATCATCCAAATTCATCAAGTTACATTAGAAGAACTTAAAAATATATGCAGACTACGTCAACACTTCTCAAAGGTTGTAGAACAAAAGTCAAAGTTCACCAAGGCATGTAAGAAGCATTACTTAGAGATCAAATGTAAAGATAAAAGATGTAGTTGTGCAACAAAAAAGAAACATCATCAGTAAAAATACACCAAACCTCATAGGATCTTTAAAGGAAAGAAAAAAAATCTAAGAAGTATTTAAAAAGAAAACCTTTCAGTGGAAAAGGAAAAAAATCAAAGATGCTTTGTTTGTGGGGGAAAAGGGACATTTTTCTAAAGAATGCCCTAATAATACCAACAAAGTTGAAAAGTTAATCAACTCTTTTCAACCTCTAAAAGGAGACCTATAATATTTGTATTTTGAACAAAGCTATAGTGATGAAGAAACAATTTTCCCCTAAAAAATTATGTCTTTAGAATCAGGATATGACGAATATTTCCCAGTTTACTCATTCAAAGAAATAGGGAGTTCTCTTCATACTCCTCCTCTCCCTTGTGTTGAAGTTAATGTTTTTGCATTAATGTTTTTCCATCCCAATAATGTTATAACTTATATAGATACTGGGGTCCAGATTACAATGATGAATTCTAACATTCTCCCCACATAATCATGGGTGACACATGTTGCATACTTTGTAGTAGCAGATAGAAAAGTTTTATGGACAAATTTAATGACCAAGGAAAATATAGGAATCAAATTCTTCATAGACTGCATAACCTGGAATATTGAAACTAAATTCCCTTTTTAAAGTCTCTGCTGAGTATGAAGAAATCAAGTACAATCAACTCAAACTCCGTGAAGACAACCATGGAAAATTCCTCCATCCAAAACTGCTGTGGAAAAATGAATTTTTTTTGTCCAACCTGCTTTTAAGCCCAGTGAAAATGTTAATCCAATCAAGGCCACTTATATAGGAATGAATCCATCAGATTATACATTGGTTAGGGAAGAATGCAACCATCTGTTCAGACAAGGTTTGATAGAACCCAATAAATCGAAGTGGGCTTGCCAAGCATTTTATGTGGAAAAGAGATCTAAAAAGATGAGAGGGAAAATAGGCTAGTAATTGACTACAAACTTCTAAATCATTTTCTCAAAGATTATAATTTCCAATTCCAAAGGCCTTGTCCTTAAATGTTTTCATCAAAGATGTCCAAATCTATTCCAAGTTTGATCATAAGTCAGGGTTTTGGCAATTGGGCATCGACCCTGAAGGCCGTTACAAGACAATATTCTGCATTCCTAATGCCCAGTGCCAATAGATAATGCTACCATTTGGGCTTAAGGTTGCTACATCGCTTTTTCAAAAGGCCACGACTAGAATTTGTGAGTCCATTCTCAATAATATCCTCATTTATTATAACGACATGCTATTATTCTTAAAAGAAGAAAAATCTCATAAATACTTATTGTGCTAATTCCTTCAAATATCCTAATA